TCATTAAGAGATAATAAATCACCTAACTAACTGAACAACTTCAACATACACTTTACTCAAAGTACTTAACTTATTTACTAATAACAATAATTAAATTACATGTTTAATAAATATTTTTTCAAGGGATAATCTGTTTTCTTTGTAAAATAAGTTGAATCAAATTATTAATATATGATTCTTTAAAAAACTATACATTTTTTCACAATCCCCATATATATATATATATATATATATATATATATATATTACATAATTAAAATTGCAGTCTTTCTTAATTGGCTTTAAATATCAAACATATTCAAGAATAATCTTGTTTTTTGATTAATTTCACACTTGTCGGTTATAATAAAATTAAATGTACTTACAACAAATTTACAGACCAAATAATAATTTAGAAATGCTTGATATAAGATCATCAAGAAACTAACTTTAATCGAAAATAATTTTATTATAGTTTAAAGATATCCAAAATAAAACAACTAAAAAGGAATCTCAAATAATTATCAAATAATGATGAAATAACTTGATTTTTTAGAAATACATTAATAGAGATATTATAGATAATTATTGATAATGAATAATGTGAATAATTCGAATGCATAACGTATATTAGAAACAACTAATTTTAACAAGTATTTTCATATTTCAATTTTAATATAAAAATTAAGCTGTTATTGAATAAAAAAAAGTTAATCTATAATAATAATATAAAACTCACCATATTTTATTAATATAACTTGCGTTAGTTTTACTTATTATTATTATTTTACTTATTATTAAATTTAAAGAAGTATATAATATTTTGTGTATAATAAAAACATTTGTCGAACAAAATAAAAAATATCGCTACTGATTATGACTACAATGAAATAATAATATAAAATAAATGCTTATAAAATACAAAAACATTCTTAAATTTCTTTAATTATCAATGTAAAAATCCAGTCTAATTTTATTATATAAAGATTCATTATCTTCGCATAGTACGGCAAAAGTATTCGCTTACGTAATGTATTATAAATATATATTGGGAGACATAATAGAATAGGTATTTATTTACTAATTTGCCAGTATCTAAAATGTGTCTATATATATATATATATATATATATATATATATATATGGATGTCTGTACGCATGTGTGCGTGGGAGCGTGCGTGCACAAGTATATGCATATATATATATATATATAATGCATTGAGAATATTCTTTATAAGATAAATTTATGAGATTTTTTTTTAAATCTTGAATATCTTAAAGCTATCAGTTTCTAACTAATTTTGTTTTCAATTTAGTATTCAATTTCACACATAAATATGTTAAAAATTCTTGATGCACAGATTAATTTCTTTCGAATGTTCATTACTTAAGTGCTTAATATCTACATCCTTGCAAATTATTTCAACACATACGGTATTACTTAAAGTTAATTAAAATATTATATATATATATATATATATTTAATAAAAGTCTTCATGATATTGATGACTGCGTATGTTTTAAATAATAAAATAAATCTAGGTATTACGACGATGTCAAAGAAAATAATAACACGATTAAAATTCAATGAAATTTTCTATAATAATTCATCCTTTGTAATTTAATTATTACAATGTAGCAAATGATGAATTTTCTTATAAACATAAATTACAAAACATAGCGAAGTAAATTATCTTATGTTATGAAAACTTACCAATCTATAATAGTTGTTATATAAATAATATATAATATGTATAATAATATTATTTTACTTATTATTAAATTGTGAATATTATTGATTGTTATGTAAATAATATATAATATATATAATAATATATAAATAAATAATTGTTAAAAGTTTGAAAAATTAAGTAAAATATGGATGGCAATTTTCTTTTTCAGTTTGTACATCGCAAAGCTGTTATGATAAAAGCGAAATGTTTATCACGTAATCTAGAACAATTAATTGCTATTACAATTATCACAAGATGTTATTTCTCTTTGTAAGATTAAAAACTATTTTTCTTTAATCGTTATGCCCGAAAAGTAAGAAATAAAAAAATAAAAAATATTTAACTATTAAAATAATAAATAAGAAAAGAGGAAAAAATTTAAACCGCTCGAAAAATAAATTTTTAAAATTCATTACATGATACAATATACATTAGCATGAATGATCGAGGTTAATTCAATTGATTATTCAACGTGTTCTAGCACAAAAATACCGCTTTAATATTTAATTACGTTAAACTGAGCGTGGCTTTCATGATGTTTCATATTATAATTATAAAATTATCCTCAATAGGACGATAATTATAGGCGTATTTATTAAAAATTTAAAATTTTCCAATTATCAAAGTATTAATTATAAGATTTAACCCGATAACATTAAAGCACGAGGATCTTTGTATAATACTCGTCTACGACAATGTCTAAGCAACAAATATCGTATGCTTTATGTTTAACCGAGTTTTATGAAAAAATGTTTTACCATAAATCATACGAGCAAATTGCCGGCAAAAAAAAAAAAAAAAAAAAAAAAAAAAAAAAAAAAAAACGCTTGTACAACGAATTGTATCGCTGGTTAGTTTCACTATAATATAATAGCGAAGAATAGAAGAAGAAAAAAACGTGTGTGCACAAATGTATATAGACATATAGAACTAGAAAACCTTTGAAACGACAAGACGACCCATAAAAAATGTCGCGGTGAAACATTCAAACATTCTCGGACAGGAAAGTCTTGCTAGAGAGAGAAGCCAGCATTTCAACGGCTTAAGATCCGCGAAAGTACGAAGCGACAGTAGGAATCCAAAAGCGGACACTTTGGCGGCAATGGTAACAACGGTGCGCAGCTACGTACGTGCACCTAGAGGGGAAAAAAGGCTCTGTGTAACTTTGGCTAGAGCAGAGCTACGTGGAGGCAAAGTGCTCTCTCTCTCTCTCTCTCTCTCTCTCTCTCTCTCTGTACGACACGATTGCCATACATGAGCCGCTGCACGACACACTGTATGCAAAAAAGGCACGTACGCGGTGACACGATGCCGGATAAACTTTGCGAACAAATTAACCGGTATTCCAATTCCCCCCCCCCCCATCCACGCCACTCGCCCCTACCCAAGTCCACCAGCGGCCGTTCCTTTTTCAAAACATCTTTAGCGCCGAGAGTGGTTTCCTAACTACTTTACCTTTCTCCTCATCAATCTCGGCCGCGCTCTATCGATCTCCCGCCACCGTTTCCCCAGCCTCATTCGGTATCCGCTACCTCGTAAGCGCGTATGCATGCCTGCATGTAGATCTCCAATAAACTCGTCGAGAGCACGGTCGTTTGGAAAAAATTGATCGCTCACCGGGGGGAGCAATCGTCGAGCTCGGGGAATACATGCCGTAGCTATGCGATGCCAATTGTCCTGATCGACGAGAAGGAGAACGAGAGATAGATATAAGGAGCTGGCCGGGTATGCTATTACAGCAGCTATCCTTTCTTAGATCCACGAGGCCATTTTGCGCGATAAAACGAGCTAGTTGCGAGCGCTACATGGTGGATCAATTGTAACGCGCCAATTGAATCGAGTCGGCAAGGCTCAGGCTGTTACGCATACATCTGTTACTACTCATAACAATATGATTTTTTCATATTATTATTTCGTTTCATAACGATATTCATCGATATCACAATCACGGCAATTCTGTATTTATGAATTTTTTCTGCCACTTCTTCGCTTAATTAAATCATATTATTTTTACGCTGACGTTTTTTTTTTTTTTTTTTTAAAAGACAATAGGAAATATTAAAGGTGGTAAAAGTGAGGAACTTTTATAATATCTTATCGATATATCATCGTAATTTTTACCTTAACCAGTGAAACATAGCGTTGCTTTAACAATGAATAGCGCGATATCAAATATTATAATGCATAATTCGACAAGCTATACGGATTAACAAAAATTGAAAAATCACAACAAAAAAATAACGCTACAAAAAATTAGGTAAATAGACTGGAAGACGGAGAGAGAGAGAGAGAGAGAGAGAGAGAGAGAGATGTTTATGTACATAAAAATTATGTTGAATTATATTTGTATATATTAGCTGCTGTACATTACCATACCCTTAATAATATAATGAATACATACGAAACTTAATCAATATGATAAATATAGTTTCGCATGACTTGGTACAAGTCATAATCAACTTAGTTAAATGACAATCTTAAAAATATTTATAATACCGATTTACAACAGCATTAAAAAAATCTTTATAGCAATATTTAATATACTTTAATTATAAATAAAATAGATTGGGCTTTCTTCCGAGTCACTTTTTTAAGTGCTAATATTTTTTGAGTTGTATGACATTTTGGTTTTACAATTTATAAATTAAGTATAGGACATTTTTACATAATTTATACACACGTGCAAATATGAACATGTATTTATAATAGATATATGTATTAAAAACTTTAGTTAAATGATTTTATATTCTTGTGTGCAAAATGGGACGCAGACAAATTTTTCTTACGTTACATTTACACGTATTCACACTTATCTATTTCATCTATACATTATAAACAATGCCTTAGGCTGTATGTAATATTAATCTAATTCTGATAATCGTAATTTATGTATCAACAAGCAACCCGACCTATAGTTACGAGTATTGGAGATTCTTTTACGATAACCTTCATTACCTATTTATCTCATTATCAATTCCCATACTGATACATACATTTTGATGCTATTAAACGAAACCTGACTATTATTTCGGTATATTATTAAAAGATTTGAATAAAAAAAAAAAAAATTGATGTTTCCATTACTTTTTGCTTTATCTAATACGATGTTTTGTAGGTAGCAAAGCTGAAAAATAATTCTGCCGATCATATCTTTATCTAATATATAGAATAAAAAAATAAGTAAGATATAATATTATAATCTGCACCCAACGGATATATTTACAATTATCATCAAGACACTCAACTGTTTTTTAAAAAAGTTGAAAATATTTTTACGAATAAGCCTACCTTATTTTTTGAGTTTCCTTGTGTTTACCAATTAGAAAATGTTGAATTCCATCAGTCATTTGATTCGCCCATGGAGGTTTCACCCAAATCAGAGTACTAAAATGACCAGCATATACAGCTGGTAACATCCAATTTTCAATGCTGATATTTCTACAGATTAAAACAATGACATTTGCATTTGTAATTCAGAAAGCTATCGTAAATTATGCATGTATGTATATAAATTAAACCAATAATTTAATTTGTGAAAAGGAAGAAATAAACTAAAAACTTACTCAAACAATTCCTCCTTGTTCCAAACTAAATCTGCATCCATATCCTTAGGTACCAACATGTCTGGATGTGAATCCAAATGAATAAAAACATTCCCTTCAAATGGCAGATGTTTCGATCCAATACATCGATAGATAAAAGGTAAAATCTTAAAAAAAAAAAAAAAAAAAAAAAAAAAAATATATATATATATCGTAATTGAAATGCTTATATATGTATATGTTTAATTAAAATATTTTTATTTGAAAAATCTATATTTTCTAATGTAAGTCGTATCCTTAAATGCTCAATCAAGAGTATTACTTTGTTTTTCTCAAATTTATTTTTACGATAAACTTTATACTTCAAATGTATAACATAAATACAATTGTTTTTAATGATTTTACTTACTATTACAGTGTTGCATATGATTTTCATTAGCTCACATTTAATTTTTAGTAATTCTCTTCTGTTATGCAGACACGTAGTAATTATAAATCCTAAACCAATATCTATTAATTACTACGGCTTTAATGTCCTTGCAATAAAATATATAAAATGTTTTTATTAATTGACATAACAAAATATTCTAGCAGACGATAAAAATATTTTTAATACTTTTTTAATTAATTTTGTTATTTTTTGTACATCTTGCTGAAATGGTTTTTTTTTTATTTTTGGTGGTCCAAAGATGAATTGTCATTGTAATATAAATTTCAAGATATTTCTAATTTCTAATATTGGTTTCAAGAATTAACGCGTCATTTTCATTCGTCATTTTTTGTTTATCTATTATATATTACCATTTTTTCTTACTTTTTTTTTCTTCTTCATTATATGAAATATAAATTTTTTGATTATGTAAAATTTTTCATATTCAAATTTTTGAAATAATTTTTTTTCTTACTTACGAATTTTAACCTCGGTATCAACTATTTAAAATTATTTTAAAATATCCATAAATTTAATTACAATTTACTTAAACTGCATGAATGGCTACTACTTATTCCAATATTTATAACTTTACGCCATCATATTTATTCCAAAAAGATAATAGAATATTTTTTTAATATCGAAATTTGAAATTCTAAGATGAAAATTATTGCACCAAGTATTGCTCAAGTTGTAAGATATTGTAAAAGTTTAACGATTTATAATAATTAGAAACTACAAAATCCAAGCCTATGTCAAAAATACTTTACAACTTTGCAACACAAGTACCATTACTTTACCTCTGTTAAATATGCTGTACTTTTGTATTGTAATAGAAAGTGCCTTCGTTAAAAAAAAAAAAAAAAAAGAAGCAAGAACTGCCGTATATTATACTCTTACTATTGTAAGGATTTTAACTATTGCAATAAAGCATTGTCTATAATGCAAATTTATACGCCAGGAAAGAAATACACTAACATTGTCACATTCGTAAGAATATAATTTCATCAAAGAGTTTTTTTTTTTTTTTTTTTTTTTTTTTTTTTTCATATATATTTTGTTTATTCGACCAAGAAACCGCTTATTTAGAAACTTCTTAATGATAGATTTAGAAGCATCTAAAGAAGTAAAATAAAAACGTAGAGAGAAATCACTGTGCTTACCGCGCTATAAAATTTATTATTTATTTATTTACTTATATATTACTTATTTTATGTTTATTTTTATAAAATCAGAATATTATTGGCATTATAATAATGCAAAAATTATTGAAAATAGAATGTAATATTATTGATATATATAGTAATAAAAAGCTCGTGAAATGTTTATATAATGAGAGAGAACTACTGGATTGATATCAAAATAAAAAATTTATTAATTATGCTAAAGGAACGATATTGTTTTATAAATATTTCAAATGAATATCATAAAAATAATTAAATAATTTTAAGGGAAATTAAATAAAGATTAAAGATTAAAATTATGATTAAAGTATACGATTTTATAAATAATTTTTCATCCTAAAATTAGCTTATCGCGTAATATCAATAAAACAATTTTTTGATTTTAAAAAATATAAAATACAAATTTATGCCGAAAATACATACCGTTTTAGTGCTTCGGCAAATGTGTGTTGAAAATTTGCTAAATACGCAACAACAACAAACATCAAAATTAGCAAAATTTCTTTTCCTTCTTCCACAATTTACAGGTTTCACCAGTTCTTACAAGTAATGAAAGATGGTAACGAATTGCATAGTACGTTGCAAAACACACAATCATCAGCCTTATTTCGATCTACTTATAGCAACGATTTCTCTCATTTAATTAATGAGCACAAAAACTTCTCTCTGAATCTTAAGCTTTTTAATATGAGTAACACCTATTCACTTTTTTTTCACTACTTTTTTCTCTTTTAAGTAATTAACAGAAAGCTTTTTATCATCCATAAACTTTATAATATTGTAGTAATTAGTGTAGACAGTAAAATTTCATTGCAATCGTGAAATCGAGACGTTATGGTAAATTAGTGTGATGCATTCTTTATTAATTATTATTTATGGTTACATATAAACGTTAAAAAAAAGAAATTGTTACTTCAAAATATAAAATTTTCAATAATCAAGTGACTTCATTCAATGATAATTACTTATAATAAATTTACAAAACTATGACAATGAGCTTTTGTTTTATAACAATTATCTATGGGAAATATTTAAACATGCAAGATGTTTATTTTCCTTTCTTAATATATTTATGTACATTATAGGGTATTACAAAAATTATACAATCTAATAAAATATAAATAAAAAGAAAAAAAAACGTAGAGAAACTTTTATAAGTTATGTTAACATTTATTTATATACAAAATTAAACAAAAAAAATTATTTTGAAAATTACGATTTTACATTTTGTAAAATCCATTATATTTTTGGGATTTTATTAAAAAAAATTATTATTATTTTTTATTGGGTATCATAAAAATCTATATATATGTAAATTGCAATTAATTTGAAAGAAAATTATGATTTTTTAATTAAAATTGTAGCAAAATTGTAACATCCGATTATCGCTAAAATAAATAAATGAAAAACTTCAATGTATGAGGTATATTCGTTTACATTTTAATTTGTGTTAATTGTCTATTACATTATACATTAAATTATTTGCAGTATCGATTTCAAGATTAAATCGTTGGCATATTTATCGATACCTTTGAGAATTTCTGTTTCTATTTATCTAATGCACAATATATAAAACAAATAAACGCAAACAAAATTAATAAGCGGCATTTTATTAATTTGCCAAATACCAAGAGAATTTAGTCAGCCACTTTAAGACAATAATTGAAAACAGAAATTTTATTATAAAATAAGAATTCGATCAAATATAAATTAAGAATTTAAGGCTAATGAGTATGAGATTAAACCTAAATGTACAATATATTTATTATTTTTCAATTAAATATCCTTGTTATAAATTGACAAATTTAAGATTTTTGCAACCATTGTATTTCAAATGTTTGCATCGAATATTTATAAAATATGTTTTATACGAATCGATAATCGATAAGCAACGTGTATTTTCATGTCTCGATATAATAAAAATTTTCGGCAAATTTTGTTCAAAAACAATCATGTAGACATGTAGAAATAATGAAAATAAGATTATGAAAATAATTTCTCTTTGTTATAAATATTTATTTAAAAATTAATATTTATATTTGATACATTTGATAAATAATTAAATCTAAGTGTAAAAAAAAATATTGGGGTATAAGTGATAAAATTAAACGATTTGGTTTATGTTGCCGCAGTTGGTAACATCAGCTAGTAAATGTAAATAAATGTTTATTAATTTTCTTGTTTAACATTTGAATTTTTAACAACCATTGATAGAGAAACCTTCTGTTTTTAATCTAAAGGCATTTGAAAATATGTTGTGTAGCCAATGTTAAACATGCAGCTTTGTATGTGTTCCTCGTATATTTCCTATAAATACGATATCCTGTGTATGGGAATGCGTAAAGATACAATCGTAACGGAGTATGCAGATGATATCACCGCTATAGTACAAAGGATAGAGAGACTGCCTCAACGTTTCTTAATCGTCTGATGTTTGGCAGGATGCCCTGAATGAGAAAATAAAATTACCACTAAAGAAAATTGAAATCAAGAGGCACATTCCTCTTTCGAACGGTATTCGAGTGATAAATACAGTAGTTTAAGCCATAATAAAGTATACTTTTAAATAAGTACGAAAGCAAATACGGAAATTTAAAGCTTACCAACTGAGGCCAATTAAGAAAGCAGCACAGAAAAGAATATAGAGTACTTTATTTAGATAATAATCCACTATTCTTACGCTCCTCCGAGCAAAAGAAAAAATAAATAAATAAATCAAACAATAATAATAATAAATAAATAAATAAAATAAAAGTAATGTTTACCGCGAAATCTATTGTACGAAACATACAAAATAAGATCTGATAATTATTTATATGATATTTCTTTTATGAAAAAATAAATGCTATTTGTACACATCTCTACAAGAAATCTTAGATCCAGTGTATAAGGAAAAACATAATTGACCGAAACGAGCGTAACAAAAGGTAATTTATTTTTTCAATAAACACAAAGTGCTTCAACATTTTCCTCGCTTCTGGAAGATATAGTGTTCAATGCACAATACCAATCGTGCACATGTATATACGTTTTTTTTTTCTTAATAAATTCTAAATAATAAACGCTCGTGTGTACGAGTATTTCACGTAAAAATTTAATTTTTAAAATTTTATCAAATAATATAACTTTGGATTAAATTAAATATACAATATTCCATATATGTATTGAATATTATAATAAACAATAAGCAATCTACTTTAATTTATAGTTAAAAAATATTGACATTTTTTTTTCCGAAAACTTATTTACGAAATCATTCGTAATAAAAATAAATAAATAAATAAATAAATAAATAAATAAATAATAATAATAATAATGTAGCACTTATTTCGCAAGCCTGAAAATTTTGTTATAATGAGTTAAAAAATAAGAAAATATTTGACTGGTCGTTAAAAAAACTTTGAATACTACATTCGCATAAATAAATGAATTATTAGATATTTTAATTCATGTAACAAACTTTAAAAATAAAATCTACATGGGCCTAATAAATGAATAAATTCTGCACAATGATGTCTGGTTGCGTGTAAAAATTATTTGCTCTAGTGTACTTAAATCTATGATATAATAATAATTATTATTATAATACGTATAACAAAAAAAAAAAAAAAAAAAAAAAAAAAAAAAAAAATCAATGTACATTACATTATTTCAATAATATTTCTACAATTGTTATTTTCCATTGTATTAAAAAAAAAAAAAAAAAAAAAAAAAAAAAAAAAAAAAAAAACAATTGGAAAATTAAAAAAAATGCCAATTTAATTCAACGTTACGGACGATTGAAAAATAAACAAAATACAAACAATGTTTTTGTTTTATTTGCACGGCTTCGAAGCTTTTACGCAAATGTTATTGTAGAATTTTGAGGTTAGGTTTTATAATGTTGCCGGTGCCCTCATTTACACTAAGTAAAATGCAGGAAAAGCAGCAATGATAAGTAATTGAATACTCTGGAGTAGTCGATTGAAAAGTATTAAGAAATGATGAAAGATCGGCTGAAAATCAAATAACTTACCTGATTATGGGGCTCAACAACAAAAATTGGTGTTTTTTTAAATGACTTTATAATCACCGACATGTTGCTAAATTTTAAATAACGTTTAACGGTTTATAAAAATTCTGCGAAACTGTTCACATGCCACTCACGCGTTGAAGCGAAGTATATACATGCACAACACAACGTTAGAGTTAACCAATAGTCAGGTGACGCGACACGTTTTTACCGAAATTTATAGATATTTCTATAGCACAACTATGAAAATGCTGTACAAGAAGCGGGAGACTTCGAACTTTACGCACATTATTTAGCTCTTCAGTCGCTACATCGCTCGTTAATTACACATACAGACACGCACACATACAATGGTGCAAACCTCGAATTCTCACAGAACGGGTTTTCTTCTCCTTAGAATTTTTTTTATACCCTTTTATCCTAACGAGCCCAAACGTTTCTGAATAATAATGACCTCCAAGTTCTTATTGCTTAACATAAAAATAAAAAAAAAACAAAAACAAAAAACAAAAAACAAAAAATACAATAGCAGTAGTCGTATTAATTTAAAAGCATATTTATTGTACAAATACAATGAATGAAGCGTATTTCATATCGATCCAAACAAAATTATAATTAAAAAAATTTAAATAATAATAAATTTTAAGCAAAATTTTAATCTAGTTATTTTCTAACATAATTCCATATATATATATATATATATATATAGATATATACATATATAGATATGTATATGTATATGTATTTTTTTTTTGCGTAAGAGATGGAGTGGGGGAGGGGAGTGGGGGGGGGGGTGGGGGGGGGCGTACGATGAACATTGTACATACAAATTTGCATGTTTTTCATGGCTCGGAAAAACATGCAACAGTAAAATCGCTTTCCGAGAATAAATATATTATATTTAGATTTTATCACAATCTCAACATTTCTATACAACAAAGCAACATTATCGATTTAATCAATGAAAAATTTACATTTTTTTCAAACTTATAAATAATAATAATCATAACGAATTTTAATAAAATATTTCAACAAAATACTAAGTATACTGAATGTTAAGCGCAAAGTCATCAAAATTTATCAGAACGGACAGTAAGAAGTAATATAATTATACAAAATTAGGCACATTTTTGTTTAAAAATTTTTCTACGCAATAGTATGTGCGTAATTTTCTTTTACTTTTTATCATAAAGCTGTATTATATATACAATACATTTCATTTGGCACTCCTATAAATAGTTGCTATTATTATTAGTCACGAGGCTTTGCTGCCATTCTGCTAATCGTTAATATTGGACATTAATTAGCATTGATACATATCAACTCCAAATATATGCGCAACATGAACGCCAATAATCTATTCCATTAAAATCATCCATCAGCGGTATTGATTTGATTATTTCTACAATTATTTCTACCACCTGTGCGTGCGTGCGTGCGTGTGTGTGTGTGTTGGAAAGTGGCGATATTCCTTAACACGCCTTACCATCGTCATCATCATCTCGTGCCATGTTTCGCATCTTTCTTGCAACAGTCGAAGAGACCTTCTCCCCGATATATATATTCATTCGGATTCTGCCTCTTTTCTAAGAAATACTATTGGGCCTCGGACACGTTATTCTGTCGAAAGTGCCATCCATGCATTTGCATGCTATATGGAAAAGCTCGGTAGATTTACGCACGTGGAAAACCCCTAATATCTTCATCTTCATCCCCCTTCATAACCGGACTCTTGACATCGTGATGCAATCGTGTCCAAGGCCGGCAAACTTCTTCCATCTTCGAATCTTCGACGATGCATTATGTTTCCCGATGACTCGGCCGTGTCATTCGCACCGTGTGCGCGATTTTCTGACGAGTCCGCCCATTCCGGGAGGCATGCTCTTCAGAATCCGGATAATATCATCGCCAAGAACCACGGACCTATCCAACTCCTAAAAGTTACAACAGCAGAGAGTCCTTACGACTAATGGACGGGCACCTAATAACCCATGTCAAATTCTTCTCACACGTAGAAAAGAATGTGATCGAGTATTAGATACTTAATATAGAACCATGACTAGTACGTTCTTTAGATTTTTTATCACGAGTCTCCATTATATTATCGGAGAATGGATTATCATTGTTTTGAATTTGCGAAGATACAGTTGCAGCATCGTCATCCGATTCTAATGGACTGATACGGACAGCCTGATACCATTGATTTGTCAAATCTGTCATTTGAGATTTGCAATCTTTCAGTTCCTGTTGCGTAAAGCGACGTGTAAAAAAAGGAATGAAAAATTTCAGATCCCAACGAGCAAAACCACGAATACGCGATTGAAAAAACGAAACTTCCATTTCCTCCTCCGTTAATTCAGATAGATGTTCCGAATCGATTGCCTGACCCTGAAAATAAATAAATATATTATTTTATTGTAAATGTGAATTGACAAATGAATTTTAAACTCATTTTTAAAAAGATTCTTAAATTGAGAATTAGAATTATTCGTTACTTTAGGCATTGAAAACAATAATTTTCAATACAAATAACAATTTACAAAGAAATTTAATCATTATTCCTTAGGCAAATTATTATTCGACATTTTTTCATACTATTGACATTAATATAATACATTATTTTATAAGATAAAATAATTTTGAATGGATAAATCTAGCTCAAGCGTACTAAGGGCTTGAAGTTTTACAACTGTTAGAATGAATAAAATAATATTTATTTAATACGCTAACCCATTCTCTCGTTTTGCTAAGTGAAATTTCTTTCTCTCGTCTTTTATGTCTACTGCTTCTTGGCTTTTTTTCAGCTCGCATAAACTTTAATAATGGCATAGTCGATCCTCCAAAAACCAATGTCGTGAAGAGAACTATAATCAAGGTTGTCGTAATAATCACATGACGCGTTTCATCGCTAAAATCCAAATGCAGTGATAAGGCATAAGAAATAGCGCCACGTAATCCACTAAACCACATTATGAACATCATTTTTTTAGTAATTTGATGTTCACGAAATCGATTGACGAGTAACGCAAGAGGAAATATATTTGCTGCTCTTCCCACAAGGCACAATATTATGGACCAAATGATTAATGCTGGTTCAACCTGGAATGTTCATTTATAATCGACTGGGTTAATATTTGTGAATAGCATTGTGAATATGTAATCAATACTATAATAACGATTAATAAATAAGACATATGTAATCATACTCTGTGTCGAAAACTGAATAATGCTAATCCCAGATAGGCAAAGACACATGTTTCAGCGATAAAAGCCAGAGTTCTCATTGTCTGCTGCATTGTTATTTGTGTGACGGTCGAAAGGTTAAAATGCGTATAATGAGACATAACAATTCCGTTGAAAAGAATCGCCATAATTCCTGAAAACATATTTCAATTCATAAATAAATTTACAATTAAATAACAAAAATATTATTTACCCATTACCCATGACATTTATTTATAATAATATTTACTGTAATATTTATACAATGCTTTTTATTTCAAATAAAAATAATAATAATAAATAACGATCGTTACGTATATATATATATATATATATATTATTGCTCACCCGATAATTGTATTCCTTCGGCTAAAACGTAGGGTGCATAAGTGAAAACCAGCATAAGAGCAAATTCTAAAGATGGATTTTTACGAAGATCGAAGTGCTTCAAAAGTAAGGCGCTAATTATTGCAAAAACAACTCCAATTCCAGCTGAGGCAAAGAACATTAAACAAAATTTATTTATACACAAGATAATAGCTTCGCTCGCTGTTCCAGCATTGTTCGATTGTAATACAGAATTGGTTAGGACTATAGATATGGCATCGTTCAATATTGATTCTCCAAACACTAACATATTCAAAACTGGATCAACATCGAGTGCGTGAAAAATAGCCACGGTAGCTACAGGATCTACGGCCGATATTAAAGAACCAAAGGCAAAACTTTCAACAAAACTTAATTTGTAAGCTACTTGCGCTAATCCTAAAAGATAAATACCCGCCCCAATAACAAAGGCAGAGATAGCTGTACCGAATATGGCAAATACCATTATGCTTCCGATATTTTGAAAAAAATTGCCCTTATGCAAATTGTATCCAGACTCAAAGATTATCGGTGGTAATAGAACTAAGAAAAAGGCTGTCGGTGAAAAAGTTTCCTCCTTCTTCCAATTAGCAATATTTTGATGGGACATTAGATTAATAAACATTCCTATAGCCCCACCTAGGAAAACTATAACTACCGATTCGGGCAAATACTGAAAATTAGTTTGTAACATTAAATGTATCAGTAGAATTCCCAACGCTAATACACAGAGGACAAAGAATATCGACATCGAACTATTGTGCTCATCTTCTGCAGAGCCCTTGTCGGGTAATACAGGCTCGGCGGCAAGAGCTGGTGCTACAGACGTTGTGCTACTATTTGTTACATTTATTATATCGCTGCTCTGTATAATTACAGGCAAATTGGATGAGTTGCCGTCTTTAATAAAAATTTGCGTCGATGTACCGAATGGTCTAGTAGTAGAATATGTATTTCCAGACCCTTTGGACATTTTATCGACGAGAGAACGCCCTCCAGCTGAATCCATGATTTTCGATAAATTTGACGATTGTCTAGCCTCCTCCCCACCAAATTCATTACGAAAATTTATCGTATTAGAATCTTTTCCTTTATCTTTACTTTCATTCTTAATTTCACTGTGAAAATTGTTGGTTGCCTCGTCGAGGTTAGTTTCTCCATTGCTTGCGACGAAAACAATAGCTTGCACAATCAAGCATAAATGGAAATATTTCGATGTCGTTGAGTTAATTCTGCGATAAGTACTTGTTAAATAGAATAAAATCATGATTAAGCTTTACATATTTCTTACACATTAAAATAATTAAAACTGCGCAGCATTTCGTACGCTCGCTATCATACCTCATGCGCCTTCGTAATCAATTATCAAACTACTGACGTAACCTTAACGCTCGCGACTCAATCCGTATACGCATTACCAATACGTACACACACCGACAATAACCGACGGCACAACCGCAAACGCGCGATTACCGAAGCATAAGCATAAGGCACTAGAAGAATGATAAAAGCACGTGACCAAGTGGAGCTGCCGTGCATTGTGACGTGCCGGCGAAAATTTAAGAACTCTGATATTATCGATATTATTTTCTAACGTAATGCAATAGGAATTGAAAACTGGTATCCGATATTCATAGACTGCTTTTATAGAAGAATTTTCAAGCTATATTAAATATTATAAAATATTAATATATAATATTAATATTTTATAATATTAAATGGATCATTAAATTAGATTGGATAATTTAGCTTTTTTAATTACAAATTTAGATGCACGTCTTTTACTTATCTTTTGGCATTGTAGGTAACGATTTCATAGGATATAAAAAGAACACGCGGTAAATATTTTCTTTTCACCAATAACACATTCACATCAGATTAGATTAGAACTAATTTGAAGGGCTTCGTGAAACCCCTAAAATCGGGAGAAATAAATTGGCGAGCAAAGTATAGCCTCCACGGCTATACTATAAGCTTTTTACTGTACTATACAATAAGCTTTTTCCACAAAAGCTTCTAACAAAATTAACTGTAATCTCTAATGTCAAAGTGATGGGGGAAAAAAAAAAAAAAACGTATTTTCTTCATTCTTTCATTTTTTCATTGTTGAATTGAGTTGAATTGAGAAATACAAAATTTTCATATGCATTGAATGTGACTTAAATGTTTTCTAATGAAGGATTAGAGGAAAACTTGGTTGAAACGATGATATTTATATATGTTTGACTACATCATCGGAGATCATTGAAATTGTAAGAATTCTATTTGCCCTGAATATATACACTGAATTTCATATAAAAATAATTTAAATATTTTTTAGTAGCATTTAAAAATTATCTAAATAGTAGTTTTTATTTATTAATTTAATTTTTATTTTCATTTCTTACAACATGTATTTTAATTATTTTTAATGTAAAAGTTATTTGTTTAAATTTTTCTCTCTTTCTTTCTTTTTTTTTTTTTTTATCTTTACATCATGAAGCTACTAATTTCAACGAATTATAACGAAGATCAGCACGTAATTCATTTAATATTGAATTTATAGTTGAACATTTGTATAAATCGTCCTAGCATATATTAATAATGGTAAAACAAAAGTTATATTGGAATAGTCAAAATTAAAGTAGATTTACATTTCAACGATATTATTATTATTATTATATCAACTAATGCGAATATTATCATATTATCTGTCAAAAGTAGCTTCCATAACTCTTCTTTCAAGACTATGGATTAGGAAGTGACTACTGCAGTTGCAGTAAATAATCTTAAATTTTGGAAAATGTTAGAATAGAAAATGATAGAATTATGAAAAAAAAAAAAAAAAAAAAAAAAAAGTGATGCAAGAAATTGAAAATTAGAATTACATTAATAAGACTTATATAAAAATCACAGCCATAGCAATAGTTAAGTAATAAATAAATTACATGAAATTAGTCCATTTGAAAAGAAAAAAGCACGCATTAACAAGAATTATGATAGTACAGAAAATTCATTGAACTATTTCACGTCGAAGAAAAAATTATGTTAATTAAACAAATATACTAATAATAATAATAATAATAATAATAATAATAATAATAATAATAATAATAATAATAAGACACGTAGAAAATTCACAATCGGAGTACAATACAATAATGACAGCTGATCAAATAATAAATGAATTGGAGAGTATGTTTGCACGTCGATTTTGGCAATGTCATAAAGGTGTGAATTTGATATTAGAGAATAAATTATTATTAAATTACTTAGTAATCATTTTTACAATAAAATGACGCCATAGCTAGATAAACAGAAGTTATGTTCTTCAAGGATATTGATCGTTTCGAAGTTCATAGGGGGGGGGGGGGGGGGGTTTTTTCTTTTGTTTTTTAAATTTTT